CACGAAGCCAGTTTCCTGGAAGAAGTGTCGCTTCCGCCGCTAAAAGGTCTTTCAGCGCGCTGTTCAGAGCGAGGTGTATGAGCCAGAGTGATGTCATACACTTGCTAATGTAGAGTGCCACCAGCAACAGCAGGTGAACCCCCCCCCACACACACACACACCCCACCAAACACGCACACTCCAGCACTGCCACCCCCTGCATCTCCGCTCTGTTTGCCAGCAGTGCACCTGCAGCTTATTATCCAAGCCTTTAGGTTTATAATGTAGCACAGGTGCTAAAGTGCCACAGCACCATTGTAACACACACACACACACACACACGAGTCAACAAACATTTACCAATGTACCAAGGCACCAAAATGGGCATACAGATTTGCAGATGTGCACTGATTAATTAATACTGCGGTTGGTAGGTGCATACTAACCATTATTCTCAAGGAGCGCACCACTTTGTTTGAGAATTTACATGTTGATACATCAGCTCTAAATTATTCTGACACCAAATTCACTAGATGTCTTTCTTAAACATGATGCTGTTGTGTGGTATATAAAAAGGTAGAGTTACTTTGTTATTTTCCTGTCCAGATTAATTCCTTCTGGCTTTTTCAACGAGCAAATCAAGCCGTTTTACCGACGTGCTGCAGCCATCTGTCCAAAGAAGGCGTAGCATAAAGCTTGATAAAAGGCTCGCTTCTTGACTCACTTGGTGCACACTAACGACGCACTGCAGATCTGATGTTGCACAGCGTGAAGTGATACCATAAAAAATCTGAGGGGAAAAACTCCAGCTATCCTCACAAGATGGTGGATTGCAGGTAAACACTGCAAAAGTCCCAAATGCATGACTTACAGAGGCAGACGGTTCAGAAATCAGTCACATGACTGACATGTCCACGAACGACCCGGTAAGGATGTAGTGTGATAGTTCCCAAATGGCAGTCAGCTTAAAAAAAAAAACAATAAAAATAAACTTTGAGCTGAATGAAGTATAGTCCTCGGCATACGAACATCTGTCCGATTTATTTCCATCACACTATGCTGATGTTGTATGTTCAAGGTAATAGAAACATGCACTGATTAAAAAGCTTGGCGTTGGTGCTTTTTACTCTGCTGGGTGATGATTTTGTGTGCTCAATTGATGGGAAACCGCAAGACACTGACCTCAGGCAGCCCGATCCAGACTCAGGGACAGGCCTTGTGGTGACATCTGCTCTTACTCAGGGAGAGCACTTCAGCACTTATAATAAAGCATGTAATCACACCGTTGTGACTTGGGAGTGGACAAAGCAACACTTCATGTGTTCACCGAGTGTATCAGAAATGTTTCTGTTGATCGGATTGATCAGCAATTCACCACTTTGACCCTAATCTGGACAAATATCTACTTGACACCTTTATGATTAATTGCAGAGTCAAAGTTGATCTGTTTTCCTTCCAACACCTGCATGCAATTTTCGCCATGTAAGTGACACAAAAAAGAATGTATCTCAATGTAATGTAGGAGGTTATATGCTGCCCGTCAGAACCGACAAAAGGGTTTTTATGTTGTTCATGAGAGCCAGGTCACAGTTTTTCTTCACCCAACACGACAAGCAGAACAGATTGTTCCACATTGCTGAACTATTTTTGCCTTCTATAGATGCATATATAAAGAAATGTCCCAAGTCGTCTTTTGCACAGACAAAATTCTACGGCTGCACCAGCGTCGTAGTGCACAAGCAGGCTGAACTGGAACACACTCTGAGGGTGTTCTCTGCATTTCTTCTCATATTTCAGCCAAACTGCCTCCTCGCCAGGGCCAAGGAATGCATCAAGCGCCATAAATCAGGCACTTGATAGGAACTTGGCGACGGGAGAGCAGTGCAGAGAGCCGTGTTCTGTAGCCACAGTACTGTAAAGATGTTTTAAGGTGAACATTACCATCTTGGAGGATGAGAAAAAACGAGGGGGAGGATGCTTTGATTCAGGGGAGTTTTGTCCAAATGACAGAGCAACGAAAGCCCTGCTCACCTCCTTCGACCCTTTGCTTTCCTTCGGTGATTCACTGTGATCACCGGCAGGAATACAGGCCTCACAACCCCCCCTGGTCTAATGTTATTTACGCCGTCCAGTTTGGACTCAGAAACCAGGTCCTCGGTGGTGCAAAGTGTGCGCAGGCGGGGTTGCTTCTGCTCTATCTTGCATCTCCTTTCTCGTCGTGGTGAGAGAACGGGGGTGGAAGGAGTGCATGTAAAGGAGGCAGCCGGCGCTGTGTGTGCCAGGTTTGTTTGTCACATCTCCGCCTGTCTGCGCCTTATGCAAATGGCCATGGGGCTGGGGGGGGGGGAGAGGGGTTGGGGCTCCATGGGAAACTGCTGGTGCTAATCCAGCATGTTGAACAGGGGAGGAGACGAGCACTTTTCAATAAAGCACCCCCACCCCTCTGTCAAGTCATACACACAAACACACACACACACACACACACACACATAAACGGCACGTTCTCATCCAATGTGCCTGTATGCTTACGAACAAACATCACAGGGGGGGTCGGAGGGGCGACACAAAGAGGCACACATGAGTTTGCTTCCTCTCTCACTCTCTCACACACACACAGGCACCGAACACCTGTTTCTTTTTCCGCGCATCCAAACAGACATGCTTTAATATGTGAACAAATCCCACGATCTTAAGACCCGCTCTCAATCCGCCGGGTGTAATAGCAGGGTGCTTTCAATGAGATAACAACAACCCCCAGTGTGATCGGGCTGTACTACCACGAAAAGATAGACTAATAACACGCTCCAGCCACAGTCCATGACTTAGACTATGAAATTTATGCAAATTTGTGTGGGAATACACGAAGCTGAGATGACTATTTAGGAGTAGTGCATCTTCAAGCAGCCCTCTTTTATTCCCAGAGACGTCTTCAAGACGCAGGCTGTTCTCTGATGTCTCGCGTGTTCCTTCAGAAAGGCTGAAGTTCTACTTCGACAGAAATGGGCCCACATTTGTTCGATACCTCCAAATATTAGTTGGTTAAGGAAAATGCTTTTTTTTTACATTTGTCTGTTAAATATGAAACTACAACTAGGATGACTTGATTAGCTTAGGATAAATACTGGAACAATAGGGAAACAGCTAGCTCAAACTCGCTATATTGCTACCCACAACAATTTCTTAAGATTTTGAATTAATCGTTTAAGTGCAGTCTTGGTTACTGGAACTTCTTTCTTTGTGTATTTGTGGAAATGTGTGTTTTTATTTAAATGGATTTCAATGTCTTATTAACTTTTTGTATTGCAACAAACATTGTTTACACTATGAAACATTAATCTTTCTCTCCGTCATAGACCAACAAAAAAAAATCTGCGCATATTTTGCTTTGATGACTTCCTGCTAGATAAAGTGTATTAGACTCATACTTTGATGCTAACAGACGGCATCAAAGTATATTATTATATTCTCCCATAAAACTTGGTGATGTGACAGAAGTCTTTGTGCTGGCATTGGCTCGTGTCCAACACTCCCAGTCCAGCCTCTGCACTGGCAGGGTTGTGTGAGAGTCCTCGCTGTGCTCCCCTCCCCGCCCCCACTCTCCATTCTCTCTTTGGTACGCAGTCAAGACGCGAGTTGGAGAACCACGAGGCGCCGTTACCTCTCGTGGATCCACGAGGGTATAGAGGAAGGGGGAAAAAAATACAAAGAACTGGACAAACACAAAGGCAATCAACAAATCCCCTTCGCCTGAGCCCTCCGAAACATAATAGGGCCAAATCATCATCTATTTAGCTTCGTCAAATCACCGAGAGCCGGCCTTGATATAAGAGAGTGGAAAATATGTAGGGTACAAGACGCTGCCAAGACCCTCACCGGCTAGAGCCCCCTATTGAAGCCAGATGTTGACTCGACTGGCCAATTTTGATAAATGGCATGATGATTACCATTATAGATCTGGTAATTTTATATCAGCGTGCTACATTGTTGGTCCTCTTTAATGATCGGCAAATGAACTCCGGTTTTTGCCCCAGGCCAGGTGGGCTTTAATGTGCTAAATATGCACTACCTCACCCAGCCACCAGGGAACGCGCCTCTGTGTGCGGACGCGGCGCTGAGCCTTGCGGGTGCTCGGAATCGTGGGCCACTGATGGTGCCCGTTGTTATCATCAAGTGTCCAGCTGAGCCTTGAGCAAATCGCACTCCCATAACAAGATTTAATTGGTGCTTTGGGCTGACTTTTGCCTCTTGCAATGTCCTCAATCCCATTAGAAGGGCTTACTAGATCAGAGCGTCATGTACTTGACACAGTGACCCAGATGGCTGTTACCTAGCACGACCGTCCGAGGCCCCTGCAGACTGCCGCGGTCCAAACACCGAGGTCGGTCTCCCCTTCTTTAGGGATTGGGGTATTAAAGTAGATTAGCTGGAGTAATACCAGTGTGGAGCATGAGTATGTGGGGTCATGGGATCACTCCAGGACATGAAATCCAGTGATTAATTCCTCTTCTGAGAATCAACAAAATCCAATTAGTTTAATACCTAAAGTCAAATAGTCGTCTTTCCTGTTTTGAAGCGCTGTCCTCATTCCACCTCTGCAGCCATTACTTACCTTGTTTTGCTCTCAGAATCAGAGATTTTCCTGAGTGAGGTGATCTTGAACTTATAAGAGATCAGTCAGTTCCTCTCATCTGTTTTAGGCCGTGCACGCAAACGACTGAGTTGCAAGTTTGATTGTGGTTCTTTGAACTTCACTTAACTTTGAAATATAACATCTCAAAATAATACATTTATGGAACGCATAACAACACTGAGTATTTTATAACCAGACTCGAATTTCCCTTTCAAGATTTTCCCACAATTTTCGGGCGTGAACACAGAAATGTCGCAGTTCAACTGAACATCACACGTGGATTGAATCTGATGCAAGACCTCAAACAGGAACTTTTTTGTTTAGGTTTCAAACTGCAATCATTCAAAAATCATGCATAAAACAAACACAAGAAGGAGCCACGTCAGAAAAGTCTTTTTTGTAGCATAGCTCATTTTATTGTTTAAACAGTTTTGCATAGGAAATATATCCACTTCCAGTAATTGACTGCAGTAAAAACAGCTGCTAGCAGTATAGGCTGGATATAACAGTAACAATCACAAAAAAGTTGAGCCTATATTTACACTGATTTTAATCTTGTGGCAATTTTAGCCCCTGCACCAAATGTAACCAGCTTGAAGGCATCGCCTAATGCTCGGCATTTCTAAAATTAATTAAAAAAAGGGATATCAAGGCCTTCGCTATACAGTTCACAATGGACACCTGTGGCTCCTAAACTGTCAATGAAAAGATAAAAAACAAAAAAGGTTTCCAAAAAAGTCCTCTAAAACGTACATTCAGATACATACATAGACCTTTGCAAACACTTGCAGTGTAACTACGATCACTACTGGAGACTGTTTACATATCGTTTTGTTGGTGTTGTTGTTGTTGTCAGCTATATATAATTCCCCATTGAATCATGAAGTCAAAATGTGGGCGCAGAGGGACGTAAAAGTGCCCCAAGACCCAAAAGTAAGCCATTTTTGCACAGAAAACTGGCGAGTAATCTTAAGAAAAGATGTTAGTTCATCCTTTCGCTCCTCTAAATGTAGCACTGCCCCCCCCCCCCCACACTCTTCCCCACCCCCTCCCTAAAACAAAAAAAGAGAAAGAAAAGAAATAGAAGAATTAACATTTCCTCTCAATGTTTGAACAAGCTTGATGTGGGCATTGTGTGCGGATATAATTAATAAATTGCAAAAAAAAAATAAAGACCATCAAAGAAGTAATATTAAGCATTTTTCTAGACGAGTCTGCCACACTCTCTTCTGCGAGAAAGTGTTTTTGCGTGTCACATATGAAAGTAAGTCTATCACATTTTACAATTATATACAATAGACACTTGACCAGGCACTGCATTGCTATCTGTTTGTCTTCTTTTGGTGAATATTACATCCTGTAAAAATGCTGGTTTTTATGTTTGATAACAACCTGATGCCAAGTGACTAGCAGCCAGCCAACGTATGGAAGGTGTGTATTGCTCACGTGGGATGAAAATTAAGTTCTAATCTTTTGCTTCTAAGTGTGCATGTATTCGCACAGAGTGCGTGAGACATTCCGACAAAAGTAAAATCGCACATATTGCGTGAGTGCCAAAAGGTCGTCCTCGCAGTTGTCCTGATTCTCGGTGATCGTAGTGATCAATGACATAATACTTTCTAAAATAAGGTTACTGTGAGTTTCAAATCTGCCGTAAGTACAGCTCCTTCTGGCGGGTGGAACACAAACTTTTGTATAGTTACAAGAGCTGTCTGACCGACGACAATCACTCCCTGCGTACTGTGGCGAAACGGAACCATGCACAACTACACCAGCTAATATCAGCTGGAAGGTACAGTACCCTATTCTGAAGCACCTGCAGTTTAAGTAATATTTGTAGTGAGAATAAAGTGTTTTACCAAATGACATCAGGCATCGACAGCATGTGGAATGTGCAAAATGAGCGATGCCTAGATGTTTCTACTGATTTTTAAAGAGATATATATTTAAGAGAGAGTCGTCTGCGTAAGACGGCTAGAAATTGTCCGTCCGAATCTTCTCTATGTCGCCTTGCAACGTCTCCTCCGTGAAAGAAAGAAAAAAGAGAAACCAGCTCATAGATTCATGGAGGAAGTTTGTCACCACAGATTTTTACCCTGCTTCGCGCTTTCGGCCAGGTGCAATCTGGGGCCTTTTCTACGGCTTAAGTGAGGTCGCCCCCAGCTGCTACAAGAAGCACACTCACACCGAGATCTCGTTGGACAAGAATTCACACCCCCCCAAAAAATGAGATAAACCACATCACACTTGCTATGGCCACGCTAAGGAAAGAACAACAATTCAAATATTCATGACGTGTTTCCCAAATGGAAAAATCTAAGCACTAAGCAAGATAAGAAATAATAATACTTATAATTAAAAAAAGCCTTCATTGTTGTTTTTTTAATATTAATGTCTGTATAGAATATGTCCCCCGTTTTACTTTACATACAATAATACAAGCGATGAAAACACTTTAGACTCTACTAATTGGGAAAGCCTGGAGAGTTCTAACTCAAATCCAGCCTCCAAAACAAAAACCCAACTTAAAATTAGCTTCTTTTTCTTTCCTAAAATGGAATTGACTTATTTTCCCCCAGAATTGAAGATTTACAAATAAGGGCTTAAGAGGAGAAGTCTCAAAAAAAGTTTACAGTGTACAAACTCCTGTCCCACGGCAGGCTTTTTTTTTTCAATAGAAAGACCCCCTTCTTCTCTCATTGTGTTGTGTCAGAGGCACTCGATCACACATCCAGCTCAAAAAAAGTCACATACACACACACACACACACACGGGTGCGCGCATGCACGCATACGCTCAAGCTGCCAATGCAGTTGAAGCCCACAGACTACTGCTATCGACGCGATCAGGACATTTACCTTTATGTACAGTCTCCTATTCAAATAAACACCAACAGCACAGTGACCCTGACACATTTTTATCACACACACACACACACACACACACACACGCAATGGCCAAAGGCTGCAAAGCACTTGTAGATTTTCTTTTAAAATAACTAAATAAAAGATTAAAACAACAAAACAAGACAGTGCACATAAAACGGGGTGACTTTTTTTTCCGTTTGAAAAATTCTGCATAAGATATCTGGGTGACGACGGAGAAATCGAGCTTGACTTGAGGATTATTTTAAAAAATGTTTTCTGCTTCTTAGCCCCCTGCTGACAAAAGCCGGAGAGTCCCCAGCACTACCGTCTCTCCGAGGGGGAGCATTTCTTCCACGATTGTAGGGAAAGAGTGCAAAAGGTGTCAGCAGCATCCGAGGCGCTGCTCTCACTGTGAGAAAAGTCGTGTTTGATTTTTTTCCGGTAAGATAATAATCATATAAATAATGCCCTGTAAAACGCCTGAGAGATGGAGTTTAAGACTAGATTCAACACACTGCACGGGGGGAAGAAGACGATTGCCTATGTGCTAGTTAAGTGCTATATTTTTCTCATTATAGTGGATCCTAGCTAAGCTTCTACCGGGCCACTGGACAAGGAAAGTCAGGAAACGCCACGCTTCTGTGACTCCCATATTTACTCCAACGTGCTCTACTGGGGCTCTCTGCTGGGGAAGTATCTCAGGAATTGACATATGTGCACATCGTATATACATTTATACAAATCTACTACTTATAAAATACTTTCTAAAGGCTTGCTTGAGCCTGTCTGGCACTGATTTAGACAGGTCTCACTAGCATTAGTCGGTGTGTGATTGTTGCGCGGGTCACAGGCCACTTCACTGATGTGTTTAAGGCATCTACTTGGGAATTGCATTCGGTGACGTCTAGTAGAGCAACGGGGTAGTAGTCGATACAAGCGTGCAACAGGAACTGTCGCCGGCTTTAAGGGATCTATGAGAGAATTGGATTCTACGCAAAATGATTTCTTAAAATGATTGTCATACTCAAGTCAAGCCGTCTCCCCCCCACGTGAAATATATGAGCTCCTTCGAGGTCACATGCTAGCACCCCGGGTGGAAAGTTGAAAGTTGACAGTCACAGTAGACCAATCAGTGACTTTGCAGCCGTAGAAAGACCAAGGGTGCGTTTCTTTTTAAGTACTTTTAGAAAAAATACCGCCCCTCTTACTAAAGTTCCCGAATTGAAAATACACTGGAACACGTCTAACCGTTATTCGGTAGGACTATTAGCTAAATAAAGAAGGAGAAGAAAAAAAAAAAAAAAAGACCACGTGATGAACTGCATAGAAAGCAGTCACCACATTGGTCGATAAAAAAATAAAAACACCCACAACAACAACAACATCATCAACAACAACGACAACGACAAACAACGATATCAACAAACAAAAAGCATTACAATATTATCTATCTCCAAACTAGCCTCTAATAATTGACGCATCTATAAGCACTACCTACATAGGCAAAACTTGGTATTGCATAATTTTCATAATTCTGAATTCCACCCTCCACAATAGTAATTGGAAGATGAACAAAATGAGCATTGAAAAATAAGGAAAACAAAAGATGAAAGGTTATTAGAAGAAACCACCAAAATACTGAAAGAAAAAAACAAAACGCTGGTTGATTACAAACTTTAGAACGGCAACTATACACAGCCTTGATATGCAACGTAACTGTGAGATAGAGTAGTACATAAAGTTAAAAATCAACAATATCATTCAGAGTACAAAACGATTCTTATCATAAAAATGTTAATTTTTTTTTCTATAATGATAAATGCAGCAAAAACAAGTGTAGTGATGTCTCTATATTCAAAGGCAAGGCACGTAATGTGGACTATATGTCATCGTGCAAATTAAGAGTATTGGAGAGATTTTCCTGGTATAAATATGTCTGGACTGGAGAGGCAATGGCTGTGAACATGCCGTGCACAATTCTAAATTTCAGGGATTTGCCACCACCTGGATTCATCATTTCAGTTTTCAACCTCTTCCACTGCAGCTTTACACGTAAAGCCTACTGTACATTTGATGAATTGTACATTTCCATTAATAAACATTTTGCATTACTTTTTTTTGTAAACACAAGCTTTAAAAGCTGACGGCCAAATGCATATGCTCTTGATCTTATCTTGAACATTTGTTTTTTAAAAATAAACGTGAAATGCCATATTTATACACCATGTGTGTCACATTTCTTTACCTATGTTCGGTTATTTTTTCCCCCAAAATAAATTAAAATAAAACTCCCCGTAATGATGGGGAGGGCTCAAAAGAAGTGCTGGTTTTGCCCGACGCTGTACAGGTAGCTTAGTGCTTGCCTTCAAATGACTTCCACTCTTGAAGTCTTTCTCATGTGAGAAGGATATGTGACTGAAATCAAATTCAAATGTTTTCTTTAACATTTTACCCATACAACCATTTAATATTAATCCCCCATCCTTTAGAGTCCTAGGGCTGACAGACTGATAGCTTCCCTTCAAAAAACAAATTGCACTCGCCTCTATCGACATTTTCGTGTTCTCCGTCTTTTTAAGTCCTTTTGTAAAGGAGTTGCAAATTCTTTAATGAGGGGTCCAATCTCAAGCCAGACGTTTAGTGTTTTTTGAAAACCGCATCAAGAGTTCTCAACTCTTTCTCCGTAAGTATTTACGTTAATTCTTGAAGTAAGTAGTAGTTAAGAATAAACACAAGTCAACACATTTTCTGAACAAAGAGTCGTATCACAGTAAACTGAAATCAAAAGAAACACTCTGAATTCATTTTTTTTGTTTGTTTTGTTCCTATGGTGCACACAGTGAATCGTTTCATCAGGGAAAGCCTCTTTTCAAGAGGTCTGTTCGGAGAACTTGAGAGTTTCGGAGCCATCCACCAGGCAGAAGGTGTCGATACGCAAACCTCTTCACCTGTGTGTGTGTGTGTGTGTGTGTGTGTGTGTGTGTGTGTGTGTGTGTGTGTGAGAATCAAGATTGTACAACTTCCCCTCAACATGGAAAAATAGTCGGAATTGCCGCTAAGAGACTAGAGTGTCATGCAATAAAACATTAAGGCATCTATACATCACAGTATTTGAATGGATTGAAAAGTTCTGCAAACACAACAACTGACTGGTGGGTGGGTGAGTGGGCCGGGCAGCAGACCTGAAGCTTCAGCTTTCTATCCCTTTTCCTCCGAACCAACCCTCTTCTTCACTTCGCGGCCAGTGTCCTTAATGTGGAGGGGCGGGGCGGGTGGGATGGGGGGGGGGGGGGGGGGGGGGGGGAGGCAGAGAAGGGGTCACGGAAGGGACGGGACTGGGAGGGGGGGGGGGATTTGTGCAGCTCGTGCTGCTTGCTGGTTTCATCCATGGCTGCGGACACCTTTAGTGCTGACCGTGCACCGCCAGCACCCCCGCCAACGCGTTCGTCCTGGGAGGGTGGGATGAGGGTATGGGGGTGGGGGGGTTGGGGGGAGGTATCCGGCCTCCGTGTACTCAGTTCCCCGTCTCGGCGGGGACCAGCGGCTCACCAATGATGTTTATGCTGTAGTTCTGGTGGACATTTGTTGGCAGAATCGGCGTCCCGTTCGACACTTGGAATGGAACTAAGCTCGCCCAGGTACCAGGACTGCGGAGAGGGAGACAGGGGGGGAAGAAAGAGGAGGGGAGGGAGGGGGAGAGGGACAGAAACGGATAAAGACGGAGAGATTAGTCACGTGCCATTAACTCCGTTTGTGCTGCATGCAGTCAAAATCAGGAATCTTTCTTTCAATTATACTGAACACTGCTCCGCTAACAAACAGCGTCAGTGCTCTGCTGACAGTCATCAAGGCTCAAGGTCTCACTTCTGTTGTGCTCAGACAGAAAAGGGGTGACGGCAGAAAGAAAAAAATGGCAGCACCGGCTCATTAATTTAATGTAAGCTGAGGTGATTCCACTTAATTCCCGGTGAAGGACATAATGCGAGAGGGCCGCGCACAGGGCCCTCCTCTCTGCATTGACGGCGGTACAGAAGAGCACGGGGGAGGGAGGGCGATCGGTGGTGGGGGAGGAGGGACATTGAGGGGTGGGGGTCCCCCACACAAAGCCTGTCCCATCCCTATTCATCTCACGCTAATGGCAAAACAACACAGCGATTGTTCCCGAGGAGCAACGGCGCTAACTGAAAACGCGAGCAGGGAACAAACAGCATGTTGTTCCCGTGGGGTGCTGCTCTACGGAGATGTCAGATAATTAGCCCCCCCCCCCCCGAGTGTCCTCTCCGCTTGAGAGTACCGGTGTCTGAACATAAACCTCGGACTTCTATCCCCCGATGTGTTAGAGAGGGCAGAGAAAGATGACGTGGAAAAAGTGGAGAAGAAGAATGATGAGGAGGAGGGTCGTTCTCTAAAAAAAAAAAAAAGGAACAAAAACCAAGAGGACGAGGCTCGAGCCTGAAGATGCCGCCTCGCAGAGGTGGAACACAGACGTGATTCTTTGTGAAGCTTCATCAGAAGACAACACAGTCTGCGTTCATGAAAGCCACCAGTCTGCACATTATACAAATCACTAGTCACTAGGCCGCTCTTTAGCTTGAAACAATAGAAGTGCAAATTCAATTCCCCTCATGGCTTAAAAGAGTCTCTCCAATGGAGATGAAAAGAAAGAATGACGGGGAAGAGACCATACGCGCGGAAAACATAAACAACCGCCGCTCAAGTTTTAGATCGGCCGTGCAAAGAGTTAAAAACAATCTCAAGGCTAATCCCCTCGGGCAGTCTCCCCCCCTGTCCAGCCCGTCCTCATGCTCTCCCCTCTCTCTCCTGCTTTCTTCCCTCCTCCTTCCTCTTTGGCCCTGCCAAAAATCATCCGACAGGAAAGGGGGGATTAAGTTTTCCCTACCTTGCTGAACAAAGAGCGCACAGAGTGGCTTGAGGCTGCAGCTTTCCCTTCTCCCCCCCCGTTCGTTCGCTTTCTTTCTTTCTTTCTTCCTTTCTATCCGGCTCCTCTCTTCCATCCCTGTCCTTACGAGGCTCCTCTCAGGTAATGGCAACATTAGGAGGACCACACAGCTGCAAAAGCCGACTTTCGGGCCTCTGTGTCCGCTACACCCGGCAGATCGGTATTAATCTTGTTAAGATTGATGGCCGCCAGCGCGTATCTGCATCCCACAACTAAACCGGGCAGGGGTTTTATGGAAGGAACCCCCACTATGAAGTGGCTGGTTGAAATCAATTGAAATCCTACAGTCACTTTCAATTGGGACTTCTTCAGCATGAAATGCAGAAATTCCATATATTTTGTCTTTGTCTTGAATTCCTTTCCCCATCTTCCTGCACTCCAGGCAGCTACGGATAATAAAAGGTGCGACCTCGATTGCTGCATTTCCTGAGGTAACCTTCAAGATGGCCTCCCCTTGCCCTGTCCAAGCTCCCAAACCTCACTAATTCTACTCCCCGCGAGCACAGCCGGGGCATACAGCGTGCTTCGTTTAAGGATTAGCTCCCTAAATTAGATTATCTAATGGCATCTTAATGGATTGCTGACCCATTTCCTGCACAATGGCAACATGCGAGTCTGGCAGCGTTTTAATTTGTGGGCTACTACTGAAGAGGCACAGCGCGGCGCTCCGTTTAAAGGGCAAGTGAGATAAAAGAGGAACCTGACTGATTCCATCTATGTGTTGAATGGTTTTACGTGAATAATCCATCATAGAGGGAAAGAAAAAATAGAATGGAATTACCAGTCCGTCTTTGTAACTAAATTAACTAAATTCAGTTGGGATCTATTGTATTTGTGCTCATTACTGTACACGTGGATGCAGCAATGAGGAGTGAGTTGTGTGTGTGTGTGTGTGTGTGTGTGTGTGTGTGAGAGTAAAATAAGAGTCCTCGCACTGCTGCAGGGGACATTTTCTCTGCTACCTCGGCTGGTCTATTAGGAGGCCTATAGAAGGGGCTTCTGCCGTGTGTTTGTAAAAGACTTTGTAATTTCAGCTGGCACACACACACACACACACACACACACACAGATGATCTACACCTCTGTGGAGAAGGAGAAGAGGGAGACGTAACAGCAAAAAGCTCTGCCATGGTGAACTGTTTTTGTTATTCAACCGGAGAGGGAGAGATACAGTGTGGAGGCAGAGGGGTGGAGGGGTCGAGAGGGGGGGGGGCATGATGGACTTTCTCTAACTTTAAGTTAACGAGAGTAAAGCATGACTCCAGCAGAGTCAAACAAAGCTAAGCTTGTTAAAATGGGGAAAGTAAAACATCCCAACGTGGCCAAAAAGCTGACCTGAAACGACTTATTCTACATGGTGGTACTACATCCGTTCTAATTACCTGCATCAAGAACCAGAACATTTTGTTTTGGTTGGGTTTGAATCCACAAGGAAAGCTTTGTGTCATTACCTGGAATGAAATTCTAATTTGGTTAAATAATAATATACTATATAAAAAATAAAAAATAAAATATATATATATATATATATATATATATATATATATATATATATATATATATATATATATATATATATTATTCTGGGAGACACTGGAAAATTCTGGTGCAGAATAGAAAAAAAAGCAATCCTAATGCTCTATTGCCAAAACAAAATATAACGTAACACCTCTTCAATTGTAACACTGCCACAAATGAGACAAATTATGTTTTTATTAGAATTTATATGTTAATTTCTGAAATGTATGAAAACCAAACAAAGCTTTTGTTTTATGCTGTTATTAATATACGTGTGTGTGTGTGTGTGTGTGTGTGTGTGTGTGTGTGTGTGTGCGCGTGTTTGTGTGGTGCGAGAGAAACAACCGAGAGACGGCATGAAAGAATGAAAAGGTTACCTTTGCCAAGTAATCCCCAAAGTGTCGTCAGTGGCACTGGGGCCATAATGCCTGCCGTTTTGAGTCACGCTCCAGTCACACTTCCTCAGCTGTCAATTGAAACCTAGCAGTCAGATCACTGGGCCAAGACAACTTCCACTTCAGATCACACTACAACTCAACACGGTATACACAAATGCATGCAGAAGAGCCTAGAGCAGGAGGAGCAACAGTTCAGGACAATGAAAAGACTCCAAAATGAGTCCTAGCTGGTACTGACATTTACAAATAGTGTATGGAATTGAATATGCACTGGGGGAAAAGAACAGTAAAATCAAAACTATGGATAAAACAGACAGAAAAAGCATGCAATCACAGTTAGTGGGTGACAGCTAACCTGGAAGCAAAAAAAAAAACAACAACAACAGCTGAGTGCGTTAGTCACAAGTGAGTGGCATCATATTGGTAGTTTGTCCGTGAAGGGGGGGGGGTCAGTGCATTTTTAAGATGGTTAGCTAACAAAGCCATGCAATCCACGGGATGCATGCACCCTGTCGATAATCGGTGCACTTTTAGACAGCGAGGGAGGAGTACGCGTGCCCCCAAGCATGCAGACTTTTTTCATTAGCTAAAACTATTCGTATTGATTAGGGGTCAAAAGTACGCCAATGCTAAACAGCGCCACTCACGCACACACACACACACACACACACACACACACAAACACACACAAACATCCGTCTTTAAGACATGCCAACCGTACATACGGATTACAAATGACTGCAACAAAAAAACAGCCACACACCACCGGCGTCTCCTTTGCATGCATTATGCAAGCGCACGTGTCGGCAATCCAGCTGAGAGCTCTCTGTGCCAAAACCAAGCTGACCTTTGCCCTGTGGTCAACACATTCATTCGGTAATGCACCGGGATGAAACTGCAGCGTTAGCACTCTGCGCGCAGCGGCCGACGCTCCGCGGAGGCTCTTAAGAGGGATTTAATCAGATATGCGCGTTCACTGAATATTCAAAGCCATTTGCAGCGGTCAAGAAATGTGTTTCTTTCTCTTCCCGGGCACCTGGGCCGAACACATCCGGAGACGGCGATGGCTTCCTGCCCGAGCACGACTTAAACGCAGTGCTGCGGTTATGCGGCTTTATGTTTCGCTGTTGTTTCTCCCGGGGACAAACGCAAAGCAGCGGGAAGAAACCGGGAATGTTAGCCGAAGCTAATTAAACGATGGACTCGGATGCAGCGTGATTATTATTTCTATTGGATCAGTAGCTGCTAGAACAACACCGTAGTCGGATGCAGTGCATCTCGTTCCCTGCAGTGTGTGTTGTGTCTCTGTGTTCAAGGGAAGGCTGGGAGGACCCCCACCAACCCCACCACCAACCCCACCACCACGCCGCTCTCGCACTCTCCACCCTGACAAAAGCTGGGAGAGAATGTGCGGTACGGGCCAGACGCTCGGTGCCACCGCTCCTCGAGGGGCTCGCCATCTGTCCGTTGGCACCGGCGAATCAGAGTGGCACAGGGGGGGCAGGGAGGGGAACGTTAGCAAACAGATGCGGGCAGATTGTGGATTAGGATCCTTCCTTAGATAATACCAAATGACATCTGATCACGGATCTCTCCCTGCGGAATGCTAGATGGTGGCATTCCCTGGAGGGGTTAACCAAGGCAAGAGATGAATGGAGGCTTTTTCACACATTCGCTGCCTGGGAATCGTAGAGCAGGTGTGGGACCGTGTGGTGGTGTTGTTTGGTTTGGTTGTCTTTATTTTTTATTTATTTTTGAAGCCTAATGTGTGTGTGTGTGTGTGTGCGCCCTGGGAATTCTAGTGGTGCCATATTTTAAAAGTGCTGTGAAAAGTCTAGTTATTAAATAGATTTTGAGTCATTTTTGCATGAAATAAATAATAGAAATATCATTCATAGTTTTTGGAATAAAAGTCTTCAAACTTAATTTAAAGAGATGCAGTGAAGGTTGTGTGTATTACACAAGCAGACCACGCTTAACAATCTGAAATCTGAAATGTGTGTGACTTGTTTCCCTCCCCTACGAGACCCGGCGTCAAACGGGCCGCAGCTAAACACGTAAAAGTGTCGGCGAGCCGCACAGATCGCACGCAGTAAACATCCCCGCGGCCAGATGAGGACAGCGTATTCGGTGAAAGTGTTACTTGGCTCGGTGTCGCCCGGTTTCGCCCGGCCCGGAGCCCAGGCCGTTAAATCATACCAAACAAAAACAACTGTGACAAGCAGGAGCTCGATGAATCAATTGGAAGACTGTTTACAGTTCATTAAACTGACACATATTCATCTAGATACAGATTTGGCATCCTTCATTATACTTTAAGCAACCGTCTGATCAGACTGCTGCAGCCTTGTGTTCGTAGCCAATTGGGCCTCGGGTTAAAGAAGCAGCAACGACAGCAGCCAAATAAATACAGCTTTTCGTTTTCGCTAAACTTAAAAAATAAAATGAAAAAAAAAACAAGCAAGAGAAACCCGGCGATCATTATGAGGCTGCGTGCAGATGCATTCAATTAGGTGCGGTTGGAAAAGCCTTGGCCTGAGACCAGCGCTTTTCAATAAGACGGGGGGGGGGTCCGACAACACCGCAACACCCCGAACCTCGAAGACACTCACAAACACTCTCACATACGCACAAACACACCATACGCACACAGGGAGACCACATCTGCTCCAGGACCAGTGCCGGGGCAACGGCGTGACGCCACCGCTAAATATTCAGCCGGTGTGCCGTAAACGAGCGTGCTGATTATATGTGGTATGTGTGCGTGCGAGTGTCTCTGAAGTCATGTGTGAAGGAAATAGTGCCGAGCACATTACACTGTCAGAGGCGCCCGCGTGTCCCATCCATTTTCTGAGCGGTGGCCACAGGATGACAACAAATTTCCGGACCCCGTAAACGCGTGGGAGCGAGGGGCCGTTCTCCCCCCCCCCGCCCCACCTTTTTAAAAGCTAACACACGCACTCTGTGTTGTATGTTCATAAATACGACGAGTCAAGAGAAAATATAGTTTTATATATATATATAGTTTTTTTTTAGATGCATCTGCATGGCGTATTTACAGCAGGTGAATTCTGCACCGCTTACGGTAATCTGCTAAATAAAATGTATTAAATCTCCTCACGTTCAATCCATGAACTAACTGGGGATGTTTGATAAGTTTATCATTTCAAAAGGGTCATAAAAATAATAATGCTACTAAAACTAAAACTACTAATAAAAAGCAGAACCCCCTCGTATGGAATGCAAAAAAAGAGATTATTGATTATTACTAAAATCAATATCTTTAGTTGCATGAAGGCTCAATCCTTTTGAGGTCTGAAAACCGTGTTATTCTTTCACGCCGATAGTGAACGCTATGCTCGACCTCAGCCTACGAGCGCTCAGATCTGATCGAGCAGTGCCTAGAGGATCAAATTCAGAGTGCAGGGATTTCACGTCCGACATGTGGGGAGATGGGGGAGGGAAAATAAAAGGATGAGAGGAGCATGTGAGGTGAGTTCTGGAGGGTGCGGGCGGGAGGGATCTCACCTGTTGCTGGTGAAGGAAGGCTGGGTCTCTTGGGCTCAGGCCTACAAAACGGTTAGCTGTTGGGGTGCCGGGGGCTGAGTAGCCTGGGTAACGTGCCATAACAAAAACACAAATACATGCCTGCATTAAAATGGGATTCTCAGGAACTCACACGGAGCGGTTGCTTTTTTTTTCTACAGCGGCTCACCATCAGTCGCAAACCACCAGCAGTAAAGTGCATTAAACTGCACGTAGAGACCCACAAGATTCAACTTTGCGCACACTGTCATTCTTCAGGCACTTGGACATTTGTTTGACAAGCGTGGGAGCATTTTTTTATAAATACTATTTTTTTTTCCATCATTTTGATATATCTTTTTTCATTTTGGAGATGATTTTAGAACACCAGCTGAAAAAATGCGGCGTACATTGCGTAGATGTTCACACGAGGTATCAGTCACGGATGGTAGGGCCTCACCTTCTGTGGATGTGGTGATGGGCTTGGTGTCCGACATGGAGAGCGAGACGGGTCGCACGGCGCCGTGGTGCGGGGAGGGAGCCAGGACCGGGGCGAAGTGGCCCGGGACCTTTCCGACCACCTGACCACTGCTGTTAGGCTGCAGGGGGACGGACAACAACAAAGAAAAAAAACAGTTCAACATGGGAGAGCTGCGTCACCAGAATGAAACAGCCTACGTGAGGACATGCAGACCGTGTCCATCGACCTACGTTTACAAGCTGTTGCTTGCTTGTAAATGTGGTAGATCTCAACAAAACAATACCAGCCCGTAAAAAACAACACCACTAAAGAAATTAAATGTCCTAGCTTTGTTTCTGGGGTACTTTGTTGATTTGCACAAAAACAAAAAGGTGACTAGACCGCTCACTCTTGCACTTAATGCTCCATCGGAGGAAAAAGATTTAAGTACCTTCGCTGTGTTGTTAAAGTTATTACTGAAACTCTGGGGGGGGTGGGAGGAGGGGGCGGGGGGGTGGTGGGCACGAGCATCAATAGATCCTCAGTCACTGACGATGGACTTCCTACACGCTTTTAAACAATGATTTTAAAAAAGAGCTTATGAATGGAAGTTAGGAAGGACCTCGGGCATGAAAAGGCTGAGCGAGGCGTGGGGCTGCGGGACTGTATGTATAGAGACAGAAATAAAGGAAGCTAGTGGGAGCTGCTCCTTGCAGACGGCTGGAGACTGTCTGGGGCGTTCATTGCAGTTCAAAACTCAAAACAGGCCTTTTTGGAATTGAATTGTGTCCACGGGGTTCCCTTCGATGTGAATAGAATGTTTAATTAGAGTGTAATATAATCTGCGTTAAAGCAAGCATAAAAACATTCTGGCACCCAGCCATGGGATTATAAACGCAGTGTTATTTGTTGAGCCCCCGCGACACCCCCCCCCCCACCCCAACTGGTCTGGAGAGCGGGGGCTCTTTCCTATATTTCCTGGAGAGAGAGAACGGGAGAGCGCGCCTACCTTCCATACATACTCCCAAAGAGAGTACAATTAATTCTGCACAAGAATTTCCACGCACGGCGATCGCAATATCTTACCTCCTTTATCATTCCCCGCGGTTTTTCTCTAGAGTAACAACCCCTCCCTTGCCCCCCCCCCACATACACACACCCTCCACAAACCGCCATCCACCCCTCTGGCCGGCTCCCTGCTCTGGAGATGGAGCCGTCTGCAAGGCCTTTGTTTACAGTGAGAACAGCAGGGGTTTTATAAACTCACGTAAATATCACACGGCTGTCTCATCTACGGAGACGCCTGCTCTCTCTCAGTGTGATCCCCGAAAACATTAGAGCCCGGAGATTTTTCATTTTACTACGACGCCTCGATGCGGCTTTGAATGTTACAGTACGTGCGAATGCCACTGATATAGTTTGTTTTTTTACAGAGATGTACCGTTTTTTTTGTTTTGTTGATTTACCGTGACTACAAGGCCGAGAACATTATGTCAAATAGAAACATTCTTTCACATGACGTGTTCCGCAAAGTTTGTCGTGGGTTTGTCTGCAAAACGATTATTTGATTATGATTTAATTTGCCTATTTAAATGACCATTGGCTTCTGTAATTATAGGTTTTCTGACAATTATTAATATAAACTGTGGCCAGTATAATGGCCTAATGGCATTAATAATTTAAATTCTTTATTAAAGAGGGTTTGGCGGAAAAACCCTGAGAAAAAGCAGGTCATTCTAATGAGATAATTAATGACCAAGAGCAGGTTTCAGATAAAAGAAAAAAAGAACAAGCAAAACAGGAGGATGTTTCTTTACTTGCTAACAGTCCAATAAGGCAGTAATGAAATAATGACAAATGCATGCTATAATTTAACTTAGGTCAGATGGGAACCGAGCCGAACAAGATAACAAAGGACTACTCGAGGCAATGGAACGCTTGCCAAGCGCAGCCTCCCGACTTCTGGCCGACAAACTGGCTTCTTCAGAGACCAGAGAGAAACCACCGACCTGGCTGCTCTGTGGGCTGGACGGGTCGTATGACGGCACGTAGCTCTTGAGGGTGTCAGCTGGGTTGAGGTGGGGCGGGTAGCGGATGGTGGTGTGCGAGAAGTAGGGCGACGGCGCCGGGGGCAAGATCGCCGAGGCCGAGAACTGCAGGGGCGAGTGCGGAGGGGGGCTCCTCGTCGATATAACTGCGAGAGAGACGGACAGAAGGGGTGGGAGGGGCATAAAAATGCATGTTAGTGAGGGTTGAGATGAAGCGTTGTGTTTACGAGGGGAAAAGTCCGTTGGACCTCCACATGTAGCAAAAGAGAGTCAGGAGTCACTCACCACTGTGTCCCACACCTGTTAGGCTTGGGTGATGAGGCTGAGAGAAAGTGCTGAGTCGTGATGAGGAGTCCTGCGGGGAGGTCGGGCTGAACAGCGGCTTATCGGGCTTCTTCATGGTAGGAGAGGACATATCTGCTGGTGGGAAAAACCAATACAAGCAAACACAAACTAATGAACTGCATGCTCAAGGTCAGGACATTTCTACAGGCCTCTTTTTATTTTAGATTATTTAGACTGGGAAAAAAATATCTTTTAGCAGTTTTTATCCGCACGGGACAGATGATCTCGCTGGTGCTCTAAAGTATGCGCCATAAATAAGTGTGTTGCATAAAATCAATTTACCTTTTTCCATTATAACTTCCATTTTTCTACGAATGAAAGATAATAAGTGCCAAAAATGAATTACGGTTCAAATGAAGCAGAATTTGATCTGGGTGGGATTAGTGTTATCAAGGGCAGCCTGTCCTCAGCGAATGCCGTAGACGAAAAGAACATGTGTTTAGCTAATTAGACACACTGCAAAGGGTCAAAATCACCCAACATGTGTGGAATCATAACAAATCAGTGGACTAAGACATTTAAGTCCTGTGAACATTCAGCTTTTGTCAAGTCTGAGCAGACAATTAAATCCAGCAATCAGATGCACAGTTGTAAAAGCAGCTGGCCGCTCAAATGGGATTTGAGAATTTCGGAACCCTCACGTAATCTCGAATAGGACGTAACGCCGAAACATCTGCGCGCCTCGGCCTTGTCTGCCTTACACCGTGTCCGACAAGCCGCCCCTGTAACTCCCCGTGAATAATCCTGGAGGCTCGGCAGAAGAGGAACCAGGGTAGTCGCATAAACTGAAAGCATGCGCACAATCTCTTCAAGTTGCACAATGTTGCGCCCGTCTCATGAGCAATGCTCTGCTGTCACGGCGGCGCGGGTTTCAATTTGCCACCGGGAAAGCAAGGTGTCGGGAAAGGGAACGCGATAACAAATAGTCGACGTCCGTCGCTTCTCTGAACACACGTCAACAACTTTAACATCGTCCATCTCTCTCCTCCCCAAATAAGCTTTTTTAATTCCCCCTGGTGTTAATAGTGCAGGATCCACCCACGTGACGGGAAGCAGCATTCTTCTCCGAGGACAGAGAGCGACAAACGTGGCCGGGAATTCAGGGGGATTTCCCAGTCTGACGTTGCAAGAGGAAACAGGCTCAAGTGCATTTTTGCATCAGAGGGAGAAATACCTTAGAGAAGACTGATAGCACTGCTAAATGTGTCCATGTTTAAACAGGAAATATTTTCTGTGGTGAAGAAATTCAACTTTTCTTCTGTTGTGCTAATTAAATCCTTGAGGGAATCGATTGGAGCGCCTGGAAGAAATTAACTGATCACTAGAAATTAAACACTTTAAATAGCTTGAATAAAAAGTCCTTAGGGATTTAGTTTTTTCTTTTGCATTTAGACCTCTGAAAAAAAGTCTTAATTCATGCAGGAGAGAAACAATTTATTCTACTACAGGCAGAGGTTTTGTGGAAGGACAACCATGTGCGAGAAATGACCGCATATGGGTTCTATATCAACCCACTTCTCATTTATTCTCTCCTTGACAGAATAATGGATTTCTTTGGAGAGTTTCTTTACGACTCCTTTTCCTTTGTCCTCGCCCCAAAGATTCTTAAGTTTACGCGGAGCAACACTCTCAGGCCTGTAGTGCCCGAATGCCACCACTGCTGCATCAGCCGATGTTCCCCTCTCAGTCTTATTATATTTTTGACAACAATTTTTTAAAGTTAAAACCAAAAGTACAACCACAGAAAGGGAGGACATTTCCTTCCACTTGGTCCGATAAAAACGTTTTTCCTACCAGTGCGGGCAGCGGAGTGTGGAGAGAAGTCAGAGGGGGGAGTGAGAACGATCCGGATACACGGGACCAAGAGGCCTCAATTAAAAAGGGTGACGGGGGCCCTGCTCTGCACCAGGAGACGACGTAATGAGACATGCAAGCTGTCCCGCCAGGATCTCGCCTTCTCTCCCAGCTCCACCTTTTTTCTTCTGCTTTTTTTTTTTCTTTCTCCAGATTAAGTAGGCCCAACGTATGAGCTCATTAGGTGAGCTTTATTTCCTAATTCCCTTCAAAGCGGTCTTGTAAAAAGTTGGCACGTGATCATCAAGACGCTATACCGACGGGAGAGTCCTCTCAAGTTGAGCCAAGATGCATTGCATGATTTCCTGATCTCCCCGATCATCTGATACTTTTGCCCTGCGGGTCTGCCGGCTCTACATGGGGTTTATAAAAAGGCCTTTCTCTATATAAAACACCCACAAGGGGTTTCAGCTATCTGCATATAAAGAAAAACGATACACCCGACATTTGAACACTCAATACTTTCTCTTGTATGAATTCAGCCCTCATCAGTCATCTAAATAACCAGCGTGCCGTTACAGCGAGTCGCGAATTTCCGCTGGAACAGTTTGTTCTCAGAACGGAGACTCTGCAATGCGCGATCCAACGTTTCTTTTGTGCGAGCGACAGGTGCAAGTAAATACAAATCCACATTCAGCCAGCGGTTCAAACGGGTTCAAACATTTATATCAGCGGCGACGCCCGAGGCTATCTCTGCCATGGCATGTGTTTTCCCCACAGTTGACCCGGGTTCACGCGCAGAGAAACCAGATGCAGATCATCCGCAGCGAAAGCGGCCAGCGGCGGCGGTGCGCGGCGGCTCGTGACAAGGCCCGAGCGTCAAGGAGACTTTGGGCTGTTGGGAAGCAACGCGAGGTGTTTGCTTTGATCGCAAACTATTTGCATGCGACGAGGGTGAAACGGGTGACGCTCCGCTTCCCTCCGTTGAATCCCGTCAACAGGCCGCGCGGTCGGCGCACGGGCTCCCCCCCCCCTCCCCTACCGACTCTGTGGAACCCGTTTGTGTGACTGTGTGAATGCGTTTCAGGGTGGGTGTGACGGAAAGAATACCACAATAATAAATAAAAGGTAAGCTGAAAAACAGAAAAATCACCTCCTTCTCTGTCGTGCCAGTTGGCCCGACTGCTGGCTGGCGAGCTGGGTGACGAGTAGAAGTCGGGTCCTGTCGGGCTGGTGTCCATGTTCTCCTCCATGTTGACGGTTTTGGGCCTTTTGCTGCGGGGCATTGGCAAAGTTTATGGTTTAGGAGGGCCAGTCATTATCGGATTTGGGGCGGTTGCATTGTGTGCAGGTTTAGTCAAACATAGAGTGAGAGTATTGATACAACACTCTCATATCTGTACATTAAATTCATTGTATAAATACTAAAAACCCAAATTTTCCAATTTTTGCTTTGTTGCCGTGACTTCCACTGACCTGCCGGGAGGGGAGGACAGGGAGCGGTGCAGCCCCACGCTGGAGTTCAGATCATGATAGTAGGGCTGGCTGGGCATGTCGGCCATTGAGAAGTTTACCGCGGCACCGTGGGTGATGGGCACTGCCGAGCGCACACAGGGAAAACAAAGAGAGACGGTTACTCTGCAATCACTTACAAAGGAGTCCGATGTCAGCGGTGTCGTCAGACCGAGTGCCGGCGGCATTCACCACACTCGTATCTAGAGCAGCGCCGTTAATTGCGCCGCAGCTCGGCCGACCGTTATCGACGCTTGGTGTTTAGGGGCCCTCGGTATCGAATGAAGTGCTCCCTGCTCGCAGGTTGACTGTCTGACCAATCGCGGATTAACGAGTCACTGCTTTTCCAAACGCGGTGGTGGCTGCAGGGGAGAATATTTACAGTAGCACACTAACTGTTTAGATATACAACGGCGAGGCGACTGGGTTTTTTAAGCATCCGACAGAACAAAAAGCAGGCTATTTCTGTTCGATCATTCTTTTTCTTCTCCACAGTCGGTTATAACACTCAGCGGTTATCTCGCGTGGCAATTTTCAGTTGGAAAGGTGTTGTTTTTCCCCACTGCGGTCAAGGTAAAGGGGTATTGTTTTCAAGAGAGGCCGTGCCAGTGTTTACTGAACAAAAAGAGCCACCCATCGTCTCTCGCTCTCTCTCTCTCTCTCTCTCTCTCTCTCTCTCCTCCGTCTCCCTGCGGCTCGAGCGGTTGGTTGGTTTGGAGTCGATGAGAGGACGGAGTGTTTGCCGCCGTCTGTTGTGGTCTGAGGTTCACCACTGGCACGGTCCCTCCGCTCAGCCTCCGCCCTGGCAGCCCACTGCAGCCCTGGCAAAGGCCCCTAACCCGCTGCTACCCACACCGAGCTGTCTGCGGAGGAATGCATCCGGCCCGGGGACGGCGAATACAAGCCCATTGTTTATGAGGTTTTTTTTTTTTTCCCCTATTCATTCATGGATGAGGATACCCCCGACCATTTCTGTCTGTGCCGGTTTCTTTTTTTGGCACTAGGCTGCCCTGCCTGTCACTTCTTTTAATGCGCCGCATTCGCCACACTGCGCTTCTTTCAGCAGATCACCTCGTCGTACTGTACGAGGGGGGGGGAACATGTGATGTTTCACCGTGCACATTTTCTGTTGTCAAAATGTCCTTACACTTGCAAGTGGAGGCTCCTGTTGTATTAATGAGTGTCCCTGTCGAAACGGCGGACCGCGAGTCGGCCTTGAACTCCGCAGCCCCCTTTGATGGACTTCAAAGAATGTCTCGACAGTCCGGAGAGCGGGGAGAGAGGCGCGATGACGGACGAGCGGCTGCTTAGATATCTTCCCGGGGAGCGACCGGCTGAGTGAGTGACAATTCCTGCGTGTTCGTCGACCTTTTTAAAATTCCAACTCGACTTCAGTTAGCTTTGGCTCGGTCACATGAGAGCAAACGCGCCAGAGCAGCGGCCATCTGGTCAGGGTGCAAATTAAACGCTAGAACAAAAACACCGCCTTTGAAAGGGTATTCAGTCTCAGTGCAGTGACATCAGAAGGTTCTGCCGTCCAGAGCGGGATATATATATATATATATTTATTTATATGCGAGACAGCAGAGACAACCTGGTCCAGGTTTCCTACATGAGAAACACTTCGATTCAACAGGTGAAAGGAAACCACGGCAAGCTGTAAATATGTTGACATGTGAATAACAAAAGCAACATTTTGAGGATTTCACATGAGAAACCCTTTGTGCAGGGAATACAAGTAAGTATAATACAAGTAAGTAAGTAAAACATTTCTGAGTGATCAAGAGTTATAAATCACTTTTTCTCTTATTTTTTTACTCCTTTGTTTTGAAAATTGTAAAAAGGCCCAGAACCTAAAGACCTTTTCAGATGACTTCATCACAATCAAAACCGCGATCCCTTAAAATAGTTGTCGAATAACTCTCGGAATTTCAAACTGGCTCCAACCAAAGTTACGCGCAGACAGAAGTACATTCACAGACACCACAACACGGGTTTGTTTCACATGAGCGCAGGGGTTGGGAGCCTTTGTGCAATGCGAGGCATGTTCCAGCGCTAAAGTGCAGCAGAGGGACGCCTCGCGGCGTCCTCACTTATAAGAGGACTGCTGGAGGGACAACCGTTTAACGGCTTTGCGGAGGGCAGACGTGTCCATACAGATGCACACAAGTTCACACAGACGGCCGCGCAGTCATGTGTTCTCTTGTTGCAAAACAGACCGGACAAACTGGATTTGCCAAACTGCAGTTGTGCGGTGGCGTTCGGTAAATACGCAGAGGTTGAGAAGGGTTAACATGCAAATAAGGCCCAGCACCGCTGTGTGTCGGAGCGCAACGAAGACAGCTCCATGGATGCAACCTGGTTGGAGCTCTTCTCGGGGCCGCCAGGGCGCGTGGAGACAGATTGATTGACTTCTCCGTGACTCATATTGACTTGGTCGCACCTGTTAGGACAGGGGGAACTTACACCTTCCGCATTCCTGCGGTCACATGGACTTTGTGCCGATGTGATTCCGGGTGAAGCGCCGCCCATCGTCAACATGAGCGGCGGTGTAATGAGTGGCGGAGTGAAGGAATACCTAAAAGCACCTGTGTGTGTGTGTGTGTGTGTGTGTGCAGGTTAGTTAATGGGGCTACGGCATGTACTTACTTCTGGACACTCGCACCAGTTCTGTAACACTGAAGACTCCTGATTTGATGAAGCTGTCTTCCAAGTAAACTGCAGACAAGGGGACATACAGAAAATCCATGTTACCGTCATGCTTAGTATTCATTAAAGACTTTAATAGCAATTGTAAAATACGAGCGTTAAAGTTCCTTATGTGGAACTTTAACGCTCGTGCCGTTCATGTGAAATGAACGGCAACATTGAGTTCAGCAGGTCGTCCAACACTTCAAGCATTCTGCTTCATGTTGGATGAAGACTGATAATAATCCGGTAGGTTGAGACAAGTGTAGACAAATACGAGGACACAATATCCCACAGTACTCCAAAGAAATGTTAAAAAGGGGGATTCTAAGTTGTGTTTATGTTTCGCTCTTTCCGTGAGATTTGATGTGGATCGCTGACTGGAGAACGACTGCAAGACAAATACAGTTACTGTTTATCGTGCCGGTTGAGTTGAAGTGTTTGAACAAACAACAGGAAGTCATTGTGTGCGGCGCAGTAAAGAGTGACAGGACAGGTGTGCGAGGAGGAGGAGGGAGTGACACGTAGGCTTAAACTCGTGCTGCTGAGAGTACGACGAATGGGCCCACGCTGGTTCGATTAACCACACCGGAATCCGCCAAGGAAACATGCACCACAAAGTAACTGCATCGTTTATAAAAATAGATTTCATTCAACGTCAAAATGTTTTCCTCCCCTTTTTCTGGAAAGAAAATGATTTGAGACCAAATAACCGTAGTGTTCTGTATGACCGCACCAATCAACGGCTACGGGTGAAACAAATGAAATACCCAGACAAGTTACTGACACCCAACTGGCCCGGGCCTCGGCTTTGATGCAACGCCAAGGGCCCCGTGTCCGTGTGCCAGGGAGATGGGCGGACGGAGCGATTGGCGCCTACAAAGCCTCGTGCCTCCAGCGAGCCGACGGATTTTGCAGGGGACCGTGCCGAGGCCGAGGGCCTCAGAGGGCGGAGTCATTGGCTCGCCAGCCACGTTTGCTTTGGCAGAAGAATCGGCAGAACCAGCAGAACATCTCGGGCTATTTTCATTCCAGCGACGTGACGGAGTAGCGCGGGTCAGTCCAAAGGTGCAATCAGTAATGCGTTCACAGATCTTCAGTCTCTCTGTGTGTGTTTCTTAGGAGGGGAGGGGGGGGGTTAACCTAGTGTTAACCAGGATGATGACGACTCAAATTGAATGATCAAATTCAATCTCGTTACTCCACATGCAAAGCCAAAAAACTACGAGCTCATTTGCAAGTGTGTGTCAACCGATGGTTCCTTTCATGCAGTTGACAAAAATCATACAGGGCTGGAGGGCAGGGCTTGTTGTTGCTCCAAAAGGCAGTACAGTACGGTTTTGTTCAGGGAGGGGGTGAGGGGGGGGGGGGGATGTTGCCGACAGTAAGGGATTCGCTATTCTGACTGCGCGTCACGGAGGATCAACTTTATTGAGAGCAGGTAAGCTCCGGGTGCACACGGGGCGGCTGTACACAGGGCAAGCTGCAGAGGAACAATAGAGCGATGACAGGAGGGAGGACGACTGGTACCGTACATACCTGGAAGAGGGCTCTTGCCTGGCTCATTGTTACTGGGACTTCCTGACTGCTGCGAGTCTGCAAACACACAGAGAGACGGGAGGGAGAGGGGAGGAGGAGGAGGGGGGCTTAGTATAGCAGGAGGACATCTTCCTGGAACACTGGTTTCTTGTCAGCATTGATTTCCAGCAAGTATCCCCTGGTGGCCGGGCGAGGACACTGTATCCTGTAACTTGTGATTTAAAAATAAGTGAACGTTAAGCTGATATATGGTCTCTCTCTCTCTCTCTCTCTCCCAGCAGCCCAAAACTGAAGGAGGTCAAGTTCAAATTAAGAAACAGCTTCAGACCCTCAACAAGGCAAAAGTGCATTTCAGGGAACTTCCTGGTGCAATAATGTCTTTCCTTATCTACAAGTCAAGGCCATACCTACTGTACATAAACACGACCGTTTTGTTTGAACAGCATTATCATTAATGGGGAGGCAGACAAAAGAAAAGAGCCCACTGTCTGACACTGGATAGCCTCAAAGTTTTTAACCGGCAGGACCTTTTTCAAAAGGGGCTGAAGGAGTGGAGAGAGAAGGGAGGGGCGTAGGGGGGGGGGGGGGGGGGGGGGGTTTCAGAATGTGTCGGGTCCTGCTGTGCAAGGTACGAGCACAGAACAAAACGTGGACAGGAGGGGCGGGGAACTACACGGAAACATGAGTGGAATTCTTTCCATTGGCCCCCGACTGACGTCTTTTACCTCGGAGCTCGCTCCTCCGGTGGATCTGCTGCGAGGCCCTTCGCCCCTTTTCACTTTTACGCCACTCAACGGCAGAGGTTGTGAAACAGCAAAAACAAACCGGTGTTCAAGATAGCCGGACACCAGTGCGTCTGTACAGCGCAAGAAAACTGACCCGAGCAGCCGAAGAGGCGAAGGACAGCGCGTGAGTCGGCCCCCACGGTGGTCGGAACGGGCCCGGGGGCCCACGACTGCCCTGAGACGGAGAGGCAGGTCGCTAACGCGAGAGGGCCCAGACGAGGAGCTGGAGACAGTGAACTCGGATACCCTCGCCTTGCAACAACACCCCTTTTTCCTGCCGCAGCTCTCATGAGCCGTGTTACGGAGGCAACGGAGGAAAGGAAGGAGAGGGGAGGGGGGGGGAGTAGTTGAAAGATTTATCCCTTACTTGTTCTCTCTCTGTGTCTCTCTCCCTCTCTCACTTGTTCCCCCTCTCCTAAATTTGACTATTAAACAGCGCTGCAAAAACAGAATGTTCTTGGCCAAAGCTCAACAATGACAAAGTAGGGAGTGAACAGGGCCATACATTAAGAGGAGGAAGAAGAAGAAAGAAACCTCTTTCCAGTACAGTTAGCCCTTAAAAACGTTACAGGCTCACAATACATCTCTGCTTCCTAAAAACACGTGGGCAACTTTTTTTAAGGGATCATAAAGGTTCTAATCTGTCCTGTGCACAAAGTATAAAGCATAAATAATGTAATGTATATAAGGCTGCAGCTGAGGATTTATATATTTATTCTAACACTAAAGAAAGTAATAATAATAATAATAATAATAAAATCACAGAAAAGCAGAACATCTTCAGGTTTGAGAGGCTGAAGCGAAAAAAAGAATTTGCATTTGTCTTCAATAAATCTCTATCAAATTATCGATGATCAAAATAGTTTGAGGTTAAGTTTTCCAGTTAATTGTTCAACAAGTTCTTTCCTTGCCAATAAGCAGCGAGTCCCTTAAGTTTCTCCGTACACACACACACACACACACACACACACACACACACACACACACACACACACACACACACACACACACACACACACACACACACACACACACACACACACAGTGTGTGAAGCAGCTTTTGTGAGCGAGCGCCGGTTTGTGTGGATTTGGCACAGCACGTCCACGAAGTGATTGCAGGGAGCTCGGTGGCCTTGACTCCCTGCCCCCCCCTTTCAGCCCTCCGCCCAACGTGCCACTTTCAGTCATCCGTCAGTCTCGTTACCACTGCCAAGTCTGCGCTCGCGCCCCGAGAAATGCTGAGTGGGATAGAAACGGGCCATGGGAGAGAAAGAGAGGGTGGAGATGGCTGATCGGGCGCTGCGAAGGTGGCGAGGGCCGACCGGGAGGTGAAGGCGGGCGAGGTTAGATCGGATCAGAGTTTTGTGTTTTGCGTTGATTTTTTTTTCTTTTCCCTTTTTCTCTCCTTCTTTGAGGGCGGAACAGGCAACCATGACACAAAGAGCAGATGGTGGCTGCAATTAGAGATCCCAGGCAGCATCTTCCAGCATGAGGCCCTACTGCAGCACCAGGAGAGACCACCTGGATGACTCAAGGTGGGATGCGAGCATATGGCGCATCTGCCAGGCCTGCGCCGGCGCTGGAAACACCTCCCCTATTGCATTACATTCTACCTTTGACCCGAGAAGGGCAGCTTCAGGCTCCTTCATCTTCTCTCAGACTCATTAGGACTTTGTTTGGAGCGGTGCTTACAGATTTTCCAGGCCGCAAGCTGGCTGTTTATATTTACCTTACATCTTTCACTTTTTTTTTTACACAACTGGTATTTATATAAAGCCTCAAATAAAATTTCTCAATTACAAGGGGTTGGATTTAAGAGCATATAATTTGCCTCGGATTTAAAAAAATATATATGCAAATAAAGTGGCTGAAATAAAGTGAAGGAGTGGGATATTTGCAGCTTGGGGCCATACGTCCGTGTCCAAAAGGTGTCCAGCGCAGAGGCCCGGCCAATCCGATAGTCTTCAAATAAGCAGTAGTGTAACCTGTAAATAAACAGTGTTGCGGTCGAGGAGGCAGGGATTTGCCCTGGGAGCTTGGCAGGCCTCGATCACGGAGCTAGACACCACACAAACACACACACGCACGCACGCACCCACACACACGCACGTACACACGCGGCCCTTTTCCAAAAACAACATTTCTTGGCACCCTCCCTCCCTGCCACTTGTTTAAATAAACAAACCGGTTCATGAAGGAAGAGAGAGAAAAAAAAAAGCGAAACAGCAGCACGTATATGAATCAGATCATCTGCAGTTCCTCCGCAAAAAAAAAATATGCAAAGGAAAAAAAATTGCAGAGTGGGCTTGTGGGTATTTGGGACGTGTCCACGAGCTCTTACACCTTCTTGTCCAGTGGGATACTTATCATACCGCTGTAATGATTAGGGCAATTAGGGGTAATGGCAACAGAAATCTGGCTCTGCAAGAAAGTTTCTTGGAGGGTTCCTCCACGGCCATGTGTGTAATCACTAAAACACTCTCCAAACCCACCCTACTCTTGTTTTGGCATTATACCCATTCTGCTCCCACTAAATTGTGGAACACACATCTGCAGAAACACACACACATAGTGTGATTTAAATTAGCCACATAGTTTGGAAAACTTTCTTTTTTCTTCTTTTCTTTTTTTTTTACATTTGCAGTGCACGTTCGTTGCCCGCAAAACGCCTCGCGGACACGTAAATACATCCTCCAGGAAAAGAGCACACGCACCGCCCTGCAGATGCATACCGCCGTCGACATTTCAGGAGGAGAAGCCTGTCTGGCAGCCATTTTATGCCGAGCGGGGTTCTGTGCACATGTATAGCACTCTGGCTGCCAGAGGCATGGGTCCCGAGCCAAGACGCATTTCAGCAGCCCGGGAGCCGAGGGGAGGGAGAGTGCGCAGGAGAAGGCCGAGAAGGGGTGAACTCCGGGAGAAGTAGGGAAGAGGGAGAGAGAGGGGCAGAAAATATCGACCTAATTACGGAGCAGCTCCGATGCGTAATGTTTCGACAATACAGCTGCTCCCGAGTAAATATTTGATGTGGCCGAGCAGACTTTCTGCTCAGTGTCGTCCTGCTTTTCTTTCCCTTCCTGCTGCCGGAGACCGGGGGAACTGCACGGGCGAATCAAATAGGCGCCCGCGTCCGTGCGTGCGTGCCTGCGTTGCACACAGGGTCATGCAAGTCTCGACAGTGTGTGCGAATGACTGTACATGTGCCGCTAAGGAATGTGCGTGCACTTTGTCCCGCGTCCTCCTCTGCTCCTGGTTTCTGTCGTTCACAGCTTTCGGCGATGACCTCACGCGGCTCGGGCCGGCTTCCAACAGCCGGCGGAACCGGCTCTCCTCCCCAGATCGGCGGCTTTCTTCTCCTCGCTATCCGTCCATCGCTGTCACCGTGCCCGCAACAGTATCCTTCCCCTATTGTATCTCTTGGTGCGGACCTACTGCTCGGTGTGCATCTGTGACGATATCATCTTATCCTGGCCAGAAGCGCGCACGGCGCTTTCACATTTCTTGATTATTATTTGCCCCTCATATCTCGCTTTCTCTTTTTTTCTCGCCTCCATCTGTGGTGGCAACCCCCCCCCACCCTCCACCCCCTCCCCTGCCGACCACCCCCCACCGTTGCCGCCTTTTTTTAATGCCCTCTCTCTCTCTATTTCTTTGTCTTTCCATCTCTCTCTTCTCTCCCTCCCTCCCGCTTTGTTGTCTAAACAAAGTGGCCTTTATCGGGATGAGCCGCAACCCAAACAAGCCAAACAAAAGATATGGGAGAGGAAATCTGCCCGCAGAAGAGGGAGGATCTTATCGTGCCAGGCATTGTGTGCCAGCCTGCCAACTGGCGATGCCCCCCGCAGCCACCAAACCCTCCCTGTACACACACACACACACACACACAAACACCGAAATCTGGCATCTCCCCACCGCCCCCGTTTCCCTCACCCGGACGCACGCATGGCGTTCTGCACCTGACCTGGCCAAAAGGAAAGTGATTTTGTCGCAGAGGGTGAAGGGAAGACGAGGCGTTGCAGCCAAATGGGACGCCATCTTGGAGCGGCATTGTCTGCGATGAGCTGCAACTCAGCAGCAGAGCAAATTAAAAATAATCAAATGTAGCGCAAAATCTCGCTCTCGCTATTTTTCCTGTTTTAGTGTTGCGCTTTAACGTGTTTTGAGTACCCCTCTTTATCCTCTTCCACACGCTGTTGCTGGATTTGTTATCACAGGCAGATATGCATGGTATTGCATTCCCTTTGCCAAGCTGTGACTGCCGGTCTTTCCCCA